GGTCTCGGGCGCAAAACCAAGTTCCCGTAAAGGTCACGTGCGAACTTGCGAAAGAGAGTTCAACGCCCGGTATATAACCGAAGCCTCATCCAGCCCTGTGCCACCATCATAACAGTGCTACAGTGCACTGCTACAGTCGGACCGGTACCGGGCGGTCCACGTACCGCTGGCCTATCGGACCGGTACGTACCACCCGTACCGGGCGGTACGATTCGGTATGGCAGACCTTGGATAAAACTAACTCTTATCTAAATGCCTCTTTCCTACTTGGCCCCCTCACCGTGACTACTGGTTGCTTTGATATCACTTGTCACTATTGGTTTGACATGAAACAAACTCATTGACTTGATGAGCCTACAACCATGTGGCTTAAAATTCTTAAGTTGAAGTTAATGGTATGTAGAGGCTTATCTAGCCATATTATTTTGATATGGGACTATTTGGGGTATTGTATCAAATATTTCAATCTGTGGATAAACTAGACTTTGTTCTTAACCTACTTTTGTTGTGATTTTAACTGTAGCATATTGTGGTGCTTATGAACTTATGTAATTGTTTTTTCTTCAAATGAAGCATTAGATTGGTGCAAAGAAATAAGCATGTGCTTAGGAAGGAAGATTTAAGGTTGAAACTCCTCTGTCAATGCACTGTACTGGTCAACAATTTTAAGCACTAGTTCCTTGTTCTATGTTATATTTGCTCCTCCGTGTGTACATCTCCTATTTGTGGACTATAATGGCTTGGTTGGGTAGCATTTATATCTTTTAACATATATCCTTAGTTTACATTCTCTATCCTCACTCATGACCCTTGTATTCTTTTTTTCAATTTATTTGCCTTGATGTTCTCTCTTTTTGCTACTGTGAACATATGTGTGCATTGTGAAAATGATGTGGTACTTCTCTTTGGCTTTGGGATTTAATTTAAAATTGTATACAGTTTTATTTTTCACACTAAATGTCCTAATGATGTTTGTTTTGACAGGCACTTGCCAAGGATGTTCCTTGGAGATTAAAGGGACCACGTGTTCTGGAGATTCTTCAAGCTGTAAGTTTGTTTGTTTAAATTCTCATATGGTGCTGTTTGCAAGCTCCCCTATTTCCTTAATTATATCCATTTCACATGGATATGATTCTGTCATCTCCTACTCTTTCTGATCATACTATTTGGCGAATGTTCTGTGAAATAATGCATATAATTAGTCTTGACGTTCCTTCGTTCATGGTGCACTATAGTTGCATACTTGCTGTAGTTCGGTTTTACAATATGTTACTTTGAAAATCTGGAAAAATGTGTTAAATTTATTTAATAGAAACACAAAAATGGATTAATTTTCTTTTACACATTATTTGCATAAAATATTTGGCATCCTTTTATTTGCCATATTTATGAGTTATTCAATAATCTAAACCATTCGACCTATTATTTCTTCCATCTACATATGTCAACCATGAGAGTTAATTTTATCATAGAAATTTACATTCATGACCTTAATCTTTCATTTGCTGTGTAAAAAGAAAGATTCTTTCCTCTATCTATTTTTCTTTATAAAATAGTTGGTCTTAGTGTTATGAAAGATTGATCATTTTATGATCTAGGTGAACAAATTTTGAGTCTTTAGAATAAAACCTCTATGCTTGCAAGGGTAAAATTTGAGTTTTACATTATCTCCCTTGTTCACTAGGCTGCTCTTTTTTATCTGTTTGTGCCTTCCAAGCTTTGATAAAAGACTTTCCCCTATTGCCTAACCCTCAATTTTCTTTGTATAATATTTTCATAAAATCATAAGTCACATTTAAATGATCTAAAGGTTTAAGATGGATACTAGTAAGCAAAATAAGACAATCACATGCTCCAACTCCAACCGCAGCTTATGAACCCAGTTCAAACACATGTAAAGAACCTAACATTGCTATCAATCATAGTCTTGAAACTTACACATTCATCAATGTGTTTTACTGATCAAGACAAAAATAGGTTCTTGAATAGAACCGAAATGGATGTAAATCAATCAAAGAAACAATTTGTCAACTTTAGTTGATTTTTTTTAATCTAAACATGACTTGGGAATCCTAACATGTGAAACATTGTTTCTGATGTTAAATATAAAATCAGAATTTATTTGTCAATAAATTATTTGAACATATTTCAACAACATATATGATATAACCATGTAAACATCATAGTTTGGTCTCGTGATATGAATTATGATTTTTAGATTCAAAAGGATTTTCCAACAATTAAAGTTCACATTTCTTTTGAAGAGATAGACCCTCTTCAAAGTATGATTCATCTTGTTTATGTCATTTTGTTACTCCTTGGTCTATTTATTTTGTTTTAGTTTGGATGAAGGTAAAACATTCTTCTCAACTAAGATTGTGGCCAAGAAAACCCCAAATACTGTGAGGGCTTCTGGTTGTCTAGGCCTTGCAGTTGCTGGCGGTTTCAGATCCTTCTGCATAAGCACAATGCCTATGCCTAAAATCATAAAGCTATACATAATATGATCATTAGATTTGAGGGTTATCTTGGATGACCAGAAAATTTGTGTATCTCCTTTCTAGTAAAGTTCCTTGCTCACACTTCTGCATAATATATAGGCAGGCTAATGCATTCTTTCTCATATAGCTTCTTAAGCAGGACTCTAACATGTCACCTTGTCTGTGATTATGAGAAGCAATGGAAATAGTTGAGATCTATAATTTGTCTTGTTGAAATTATTATACACTTATGTAGTAAAGATATTTATCACTTCATTTTTTAAAATTCCACTTTTATATGCTAATGGTATTAAGAAGATTCAAGATTTTGTTCAGTGCTTCAGATCCATGAATTTTGATAGCCATTTAATTTTGATGCATTTAAGTGTCTCTGCTTCAGTATTATATATTTAATTTTGTGATGATGAATGGACTGCTAATGTTACTCTGCAGATTGATAGCAATACCGACGGACTTGTTGACTTCACTGAATTTGTTGCAGCAACTTTGCATGTGCATCAGATGGAGGAACATGATTCTGAGAAATGGCATTTACGTTGTAAAGCTGCTTTTGATAAATTTGATGTGGATGGAGATGGATATATTACACCAGAGGAACTTAGAATGGTAAATTTTGGTTGTATAGTCCTTATTTAGAGTTCCATAGAGTGCTCCAGCAACATAGTTCTTCGTCGAGCAATCTTGTCCTAGTTGTTGGGTTCTTGGGTTACCTATTCACTTTGAAGAGCTTTCAATTTCAAATAATTTTAGGGGTGGTCCTTAAGTGGTTCGCCTAGAAATTGTGTAGGTTGGGGGATCATCCCCTCTGTTGTTATGCAAAAGAAAGAAAAACAATTATATATATATTTGTATGGTTCCATCTTCATGCATCTTAATGTTGAAGAATTATGCCAAAATATAATAGTTTGTCAATATCTGCCACCATAAAATTTTGAACTCTAGAAATTTTTTTTTTCTATACCTTATGAAACTTCCTCCTAAATAGAAGTCAGTCTACTTATTGACCAAGAATTGGACCAGTATTTTAGTCAGAAACAACTTCTAATTGGCTATTGTGTTTCATTTGCAGCATACAGGGTTGAGGGGTTCTACCGAACCATTACTAGAGGAAGCTGATATTGACAAAGACGGAAAGATTAGCTTGTCTGAATTCCATAAGTTACTAAGAACTGCAAGCATGAGTTCCAATGTTCCTAGTCCATCTGGTATAAGGAATCCTCAGAAGTTCTAACTCCCACTGGGTAGAGGAAAAAGATTGGCAGGAGTCATAAACATTACCATTTCTATAATGTTCTTGCCAAAAATTCTGAGGCTCATTATCAAGAACCATATGAGATGGTTTTCTTCTCAGCATGGGTGAAGTCTTCAAGTTGCTAGTGAGAGATGAAAGGATCATTGGTAAAAGGAACTGCAAGAAAGCATTAATGGCCCGATGTAGTAATTTCGTGTCTTGCATGGTACATTATGTGCTTAAGTTGAAGGGTCTCCTCCATCTTTCATCACGAATGAATGTGTTAGTGTGTATCCTATTGCAAGTTGTTCCTACTGACATTTATCCAAAGGAGAAGCAACACGGGTGGAATGTGATTCACCCACAAATAATTATTTCTAAAGAGTTTAGCAGATAATGCAGATGATGGCTTGATTGGATTATCAAAACTAGTGAATGCAGACAAAATAATGAGCCTTATCCATCCATCAAAATTCTGAGTATCATAAAATTTGACTTGAATTAGATTTTTTTTTTTTTTTTTTTTTTAACAATGGGTAAGTGGTGAAAGGGAATTTGATATCAGGATATTGACTTAATCTGTCAAAACTTTTAAAGCCTTTGCTAGCTAAGGTAGCTAACATCTTCTGAAAAAAAATATTAACAAAAATTCCAAGCTAGTTAGCTCGCCTACGATTTGAAGACGGGATTTGTCTTGAGTTGGATTTGCTTAAAGGATTTTTATGTTGGACATACTAGTGTCCAGTCCGCAGACATCTTCCATTAGCATCCCGTGGAATGTAGCCTTTTCTTCTCCCGTTAGCGTAATTACATTCTTTACTCTTTCAAACTCTCATGACTTACGCAGTAAAAGATGACCAGTTTGAAAGATGTATACGCATTTATTATTTCCAAATAATTAGCTGTTTAGATGACCCTTGATGAAAATAATGCTTTGAAGCAGCTCACGATCCAACCTAATTACAATGCTGGATATCCACATGATCCACATCCACGATTCCAACTCGGTGAGTCAGGATAACAAGATAAGCCAACGTGGCACTCGTAACCCTTCTCTCCCGTTTATCCTCTCTATCCAATGTTCTACGAAGCACAGCAGGATGGCTTGTTCTTCGCTGCTTGCTGCACCCACCTCCCTTTCCTCAAGACCTGCAGCCTCTCCATCTCCATCCCTCGTTGCCACCATAGCCAATGCGGTTCCGGGCAGCAGCCAAGCCGTAAGCCGCCGGGAGCTCGGCGTGATCCTGTCGTCCTCGGTGGCGCTGCTGCTCGTCCCGGTGCCCCCATCGGCGTTCGCGGCCTCGGACGAGGAGTACGTTAGGGAGACGGCAGATATGATCGGGAAGCTGCGGATCACTATCGGCATGGACAAGAAAGACGCCAACGTGGCCGCGGCCGTGGCGGAGCTGCGGGAGGCGTCCAACTCATGGGTGGCCAAGTACCGGAGGGAGAAGGCGCTGCTGGGGCGGGCCTCCTTTAGAGACATGTACTCCGCTCTCAATGCCGTCTCCGGCCACTACATCAGCTTCGGCCCCACGTCGCCCATCCCCGCCAAGCGCAAGACCCGCATCTTGGAAGAGGTGGACGCCGCCGAGAAGGCTCTTATCCGGGGGAGGTAGGCTAACCAAAAGAAGGAACAAGAAGGAAGCTACCCTCTTAAATCCTGTCTCCTCTCTTGGGATGCTGTTCTCCTTCGACTGAAATGCACTGCACTGTATTCGGGTTACTTGTGCTGATGATGTACTTAAAACTCATCTGATGCTGAAAGCTGTGGATTTCAATTGCTGATGTCTTTTATTTTACTGGAACAACGTAATTTGCATTGATGTTATATAACCATTCTCTCGCTCTTGCTAGTGACTGTTGTTCCGAAATCCAGAATCTATTGCGGTTGTCACGATTAATCAATTAAAAAATATATATATAAAAGATGAGAATGAGTAGACAAAAGTAATTTTCATATCATTTTATCGAATAATAAGCTGTTAATCATATGTGGCTCGTAATTTAATAAATAAAATATTTTAAAATTTATGATTGAATTCTAATCAAATATCTAATTATTAATATTTATGTAAATCTAAATATTAAATATTGATACAGATGAAAAGAATATTCAAAGATACCTTTTTCAACATTTTCTCCTCCTTTTATGCATTCCGTCTTCTTGCCTAAAAATAGGCAGAGCCTAACTTCATCGATAACAATCGTCAGAGAGGAATTGGATATAAGCGGAGACGAAGTTGACATCTTTTTCTCAAACAAATTTCTATCATTGGTATAATTGTTTTTCACATTATAGTTATTTTTTAACAATTGATGTGATATCAGAATCATAAGTTAATGAAATCTATTTATTTTATGTAATAAAAAAAATTGAGATCTATGTATGTGATTAAATTTATTTATCATTTAATCATTTGAATCACATCGTAAAATAGTCATGTAAAAAGATTTATTTATTTTTATTAGATATGTTTATTATCATCTTCGCTTGGGAAAAGATATTTTCTATTCCGATTTTGGTGTTCGCATCATAGGATCTATTGATTTAGTAGCGTTGCTGCGGGCGGCGGCCCTACTGTGGGCGGTTGTTACTGCACGCGACAGGACTGTCAAGAGCCGCGGTCTGCCTTGGTCGTCGGCCTTGCCGCGTGCAGCGGTTGCGCTGGCGGCAGCGCTGCGTGCACCGACTACTGCTGTGGGCAACGGCGGATGCGACAGCCCTGTTGAGGGCGGCGGCTTCCGACGGCCCTCCCGGGGTGCGCTGCTGACTGCGGACGGCGGTGCTGCGTTGACGGCACGCGCGGAGGGTGAAGTAGGCCTGCACAGCGCAGGCAGGTGACGGACGACGACAGCTAGCAAAAGTTGCGGGCTTGCTCGCGGTGGTCCAAAGTGCTGTGATGGTCGGCTGGCAGCGCCAATCCGCCGGCGATGGTGCGTAAGAGTTGAGACTCGCGCGTGGGAATCGCACTAGGGCTGCGGTAGCGGTTGGGAGAAAAGTGGGTTCAGTTTCCGCCCGGTTAAGGTCAATTTTACCCTTCGGAATCAATTAATTTCAATCTATATCCTTAGTTTCAATTTTGTCCTTCAAAATTAACAATTTTTTACCTATATCCTTAATGACAAAATTCCAATCTTACCCTTATTAATTTTTTTGTTTTCGATCGATATTATCTAATTTTGAAGTATGTCCTTAATGACAAAATTGGAATCTGACCCTTATGAATAGTTTATTTTCTGTCAATATCCTTTGTTTATATTTTTGCCCTTCAGATTTAGCATCATTCTTCCATAGCCATAATTCATCAACAATAATATAAATTATGTCATAAAAAATTTGATAAATAATTTTATCAAAATTAAAGAAAAATAAATTATAGATATTTTAGTTTTATTTTTATTATTATTAGCCATGTAACATAATTTATTATTGTTTAATTTGATTATTTATATTATTTAGAAATTATTATTATTATTATTATTACTATTATTATTATAGATATTTATGCAGTTATTAAATATATGAGTATAAAAGAAATTTATGAAATACTATTTAGTTTCACACGAAAGCCTTTTGTTTATTCTTGATTACTTGATTGTGCTTATTAATATTTATATTCAATTATTATTATGATATTTTATTGAATAAATTTTACATAATAATAGTATTAAAAAAAATAAGTGAATATTATTTATAGTTTATATCTCTAAATTTTGTTTGATTGGTATGTATCAAAGTGACATTAGATGATAGACTTTTGAGATATAAATTAAATAAATAATTTATTATTTATTTTATATTTTTATTAATCTTATAGTCAATAAAATGGTCTAAATTAATAAAATTATATTAAAAAAATAATATTTATAATAATACTCATAATTAAGAGATTTAGATAATTTCAAGGATAGTATTTTTTAATTAATTATATGATGAGGAAGGATATTATTGTTTGAATAACTAGGCATATTAGGGTTATATTCCTAAAGGTAACATCACGAAGACATATGGATTTCTTGATAATTGTGATATTAAGTGAATATTAAATATATCAATATTTCATTGAAAGGAGAAATATTTATAATATAAATAGTTCATTATAACTTGATAACTCAAAAAGAAAATATTTATAATTTTAGTAATTCTTCTTTAGCATGTGTAGTTTACATTAGATGTATTGGATCTTAATACTTGGGAAAGATCTAATAAGCTTAGTCTGATATTCATAAAAAAGATAATTGTAAATAATATGAAGATTTGATTATCATTGATAAATAGCGTTGTGAAATACTTAAAGACTATTGAAGAACGTTTCAAAATTATTAATAAATCATTATCTAGCACTATGATGAAGGAGTTGACTATAGCTCAATATGATGGTACTAAAAAACTAGAGATCATATCTTTATATGGCTAATAAATTTGACAAGCTTAATTCCTTAGTCATGAATGTTGGCAAGTCTTTTCTTATATAATTTATTCCTAATTCTTTTCATTCATAATTTGGGTTGTTTAAGATCCACTATAATATGGAACTTGAATGAGTTAATAAGTATATGTAGCAAGAGGAATTAAGATTGAAGCACAAAAAGGCTCATGATGTTTTAACTATTTCTCAAAGACTTGGTAACAAGAAAAGGTCAAAGAAGTTTGTTAGGTTTAAAAATTTTTGCTTAGACTTAAGAAAAAAAAGTCTTTATAATAAAGTGTCATTTTTTTTTTTTGGTAAGAAAGGATATACGAAGGACTACTCTAAATGTAAAGCTTAGTTTGAAAAATGAGGTAAAATATTTACCTTTGTACATTTTGAATTAAGCATTACTAAAATCCCTTCTAATGCTTGGTGGATAGATTTTGGTACTACAACTCATATTATTAATAACTTGTAGGGATTTCTTTTAACCCAAAAATCAAAAGAATATTATATTATTTTAAAGTGAAAGTGATAGCGGTGGGTGTTAGGATCTTAATGGCACTAGGGAGGAGTTGAATTAGTGTTATAGCAAATTTGAACTGATTTCAAAGTTTGATCGATAAATCCATATTGAAAATATAATTAACTAAGAATGTGAGTAAAGGTTGTGAGTAAAATAAATGAGTAAACAACAACAAATCATAAGGAAGAAAAGGATTGCAAACCAATTTATAGTGGTTTGGTCTTCCCAACTTATGTCTATTCCCAATTCCTCTTCTGTCGAGGCCATCGATTTTCATTACCGATCTTATTTCTAACAAGTGAAGATCAACTATCCTTGTTACAGATTTTCTGCTTTTAATAGGCTTTGGAGAGAACATTCATAATCTTTCTTTTATAAAATCTCTTACCTTCTATAACTTAGAATCTCCTCTAATCTCAAGGAGGAAGAGACTCAAATAATGTTGAAAGAGAGAGTCTACAATACTTTTGTACTTAGGAATTAGTGCTCCATCCATTAAGCATAAGAAAAGTATTTATTGGGCAAAAGGCTA